CAACAAGGACTTGCGGTATTCGTTCAGTCTTCAACAAGGACTTGCGGTATTCGTTCTGTCTTCAACAAGGACTTGCGGTATTCATTCAGTCTTCAACAAGGACTTGCGGTATTCGTTCTGTCTTCAACAAGGACTTGCGGTATTCGTTCTGTCTTCAACAAATCTCTGATTGTTTCTTCTCATGTGTTTTCCACAGCCGAAGAGATGGCGTACCGACACATGCGTCACAACGCGCCAGGCTATGCGTGTGTGCTGGCCAGCTCTGGGGCAGCACTGGCCTATCTCTACCCACACACCGTGGGCTTGAAGCACTACACACCTGACTCGCACCGCGACACGCCGGGCCTCGACCTCACTTTGGACGTAGACATACGGCTCATGGCGGAGGAGGTGAGCTACGCACCCACACATCTACACACCTACACAGCTACACTCCTACACAGTTACACAGCTACACAGTTACACATCTACACAGCTACACACCTACACAGCTACACATCTACACAGCTACACATTTACACAGCTATACACCTACACAGCTACACATCAACACACCTACACATCTACACACCTACACAGCTACACATCAACACACCTACACATCTACACAGCTACACAGTTACACAGCTACACACCTACACATCTCCACAGCTACACATCTACATACCTACACAGCTACACATCCACACAGCTACACATCCACACAGCTACACATCTACACAGTTACACATTTACACATTTACACAGTTACACATCTACACTCATGACCATCAATGATTTATTTATAGAGGCACCAGCCATCCATGTCCAGATGCTGTATCTGCACCGCTGTACATCTACACAGCTACACTTCTACACATCTACACAGTTACACAGTTACACAGCTACACATCTACACATCTACACAGCTACACATCCACACAGCTACACATCTACCTACACATCTACACAGCTACACATCTACACAGCTACACATCTACACATTTACACATCTACACATCTACACAGTTACACATCTACACAGTTACACATCCACACAGTTACACATCCTCACAGTTACACACAGCTACACATCTACACATCCACACAGCTACAGAGCTACACAGTTACACATCTACACAGTTACACATCTACACAGTTACACATCTACACAGTTACACAGTTACACATCCACACAGTTACACATCCTCACAGTTACACACATCTACACATCCACACAGTTACACATCTACACATCCACACAGTTACACATCTACACAGCTGCACAGTTACACAGCTACACATCCACACAGCTACACATATACACATCTACACAGTTACACATCTACACAGTTACACATCTACACAGTTACACTTCTACACAGTTACACACAGCTACACAGCTGGCTTGCTCTTTGTTGGAGGGACACAGTAACGTAACGACACAGTTATGGTCATTGTACGTGACACAGGGACACAGTTATGGTCATTGTACGTGACACGGGGACACAGTTATGGTCATTGTACGTGACATGGGGACACAGTTATGGTCATTGTACGTGACACGGGGACACAGTTATGGTCATTGTACGTGACACAGGGACACAGTTATGGTCATTGTAGGTGACACGGGGACACAGTAACAGTTATTGTATGTGTAAAGAGTAACACAGAGATACATAACACAGAGATACAGTATCGGCTACAGTGGAACACACAGAGATACAGTATCGGCTACAGTGGAACACACAGAGATACAGTATCGGCTACAGTGGAACACACAGAGATACAGTATCGGCTACAGTAGAACACACAGAGATACAGTATCGGCTACAGTAGAACACACAGAGATACAGTATCGGCTACAGTGGAACACACAGAGATACAGTATCGGCTACAGTGGAACACACAGAGATACAGTATCGGCTACAGTGGAACACACAGAGATACAATATCGGCTACAGTAGAACACACAGAGATACAGTATCGGCTACAGTAGAACACGACTACAGCGCGCCCCCCCCCCCCTACAGCGGGGCATAGAAGAACCCCCTTTTTTGTGTCTCTGTAAACTCAATGACCTGTGCTCAGGTGTGGCGGGCCAAGGAGAGGCCCGACCTCGGATAGTCCGGATACAGCGGGAGAGATGGAGCGAGCGGTAGCTGAGGGAAGGGGGTTGGGATGTAACAGATGTCATTTGTGACAAAGTGACACAGAAACTGTCATTGTACACGTACAAGGGAACACATCTGACAAATGACATGACACACAAATGACATGACACTGACAAATGACATGACATGACACTGACAAATGACATAGCATGACACGCAAATGACATGAAACTGACAAATGACATAACACACACATGACATGACACACAAATGACATGACACACAAATATGACACTGACAAATGACATGACACACACATGACATGACACACAAATGACATGACACTCAAATGACATGACATACAAATGACATGACACACAAATGACATGACACGCAAATGACATGACACGCAAATGACATGACACGCAAATGACATGACACTGACGAATGACATGACACTGACAAATGACACAACACACAAATGACATGACACACAAATGACATGACACTGACAAATGACATGACACACAAATGACATGACACCGACAAATGACATGACACTGACAAATGACATGACACACAAATGACATAACATGCCGTTTCTATCCCCAGATAAAAAGTGAGCTGCGTTGGTCGCAGCGTGCTGAGATGACTGGCAGTGTCCTTGAACTGATTCCGTCAAGGTCGCTGGAGCTGAGCCACGCAGGCTCCATGGCGACCAAGTGGGGTGCGGTGGTGGGTGTGCCCGTGCACTTCTCCCCCCACTTCCTGCCGCAGGCTCGCCACGACTCACGTTTGCTGTCAGACTTAGGAATTGACGCGGCCTCGGAGCAAGGGGAGGCCATCCTCCGCTCGCTGGCCTTGAGCAGACACGCCAAGAAGTTTGCCCTGGCCAGGGAAATGTGCCAGGCCAAGTCGTCGCGGATCTACGTCAACGCGTTTGTGCTGGGCGTGTCGGTGACTTGTTGCTACCTCGTGACACGCGCCCTGTCGCAGGCAGTGGCGTGGCGCGGCGCCACCCTCCTCTCCTTCCTGTTGGTTGTCCCCACTGTGACTTTTGCCTATCTGCAGGCGTTTGACTATAACACCCGGGCCTCGCAGCGGCGAGCGGACGTGAAGGCGGCTGGTCTCGGGGAAAGTGTGGCGCGCGCCGGGCTCGACTTCTACCAGGCGGTCGTGGTCAGAGAACGCCTGGCCACTCAAACAACTCTTGGTGGGGGACACACGGACACACAGCGACACACGGACACACGCACACACAGACACACAGAGCGACACACTGACACATGGAGCTTCATGACAGAGCCTGAGAGGTGGTTCGCAGCGTTTAGGAAACCTGGTCTGACAGCAGAGGAGAGGAGGGAGGGGGTGGGGAGGGTGGTGGAACGGTTGTACGGGCGGGGAGGGGGAGGAGAGGAGGGAAGGGGGGAGAGGAGGGAAGGAGAGACATGAGGGTAGAGGATGGAGGGGATGGAGAGGAGGAGAGATGGGTACATCTATTATATATTTGGCAACTTGGAAACACATGTGTCACTTTTCCCATAAATCTGCGACAGCTACAGAGTTGAAAGTTGGCAAGTACCTGCAAAAAGATAAATAGGTCCCCCATGACGGGGCCCGATTTTTTATTTATTCATTTCCTGAATTTAGACAAATATATTTGACAAAAAGTTCCCGTCCTTCTTTGGCCTTTGTGATTCTTCCACTGAGCAACGAAACAAATCTGCGTAGCTGTCCTTCACAACGGAAGTGCTGGAAGTGATATTTCATGACGTTCTCATTTTTTGCTTCTCTCATGATTTATTGCTCCATTCCTGTAGAGTGTAAATTAAAATCTAGTAGGCCAATGACTTTCAGTTGATGTTAATGCACCAATCTTTCCTTTCGTTGAAAGGGGGCCCAGCTAGTTATATATATGTGTGTCCTGACGCGCTGGAATTGGGCGCTGGTCAGTTTTTGAGCACGTGGAGTTATTGGTGTCATCTGACAGCTGATTCATTTCCCTTGCTTCCAATGAAACAAATATCCATTTATCTTGAATAGAATTGAAGATATTGAAGGAAGTGAGGTCGCCTGATTTCAGTAGTAAAATTAGCGAGAAAATGGCCGCCAAAGTTTGAGAGTCTTTGAAAAGTGAACAATGACATATTTTGTGCCTTTGATCGATGGTTGTCAGGAAAATTCGACATGGGCTTGTCATGTGTTGATGAAATTGTACCTGGTCCAATTTTCACATCCACAAAAGTGTCAACAGTCAACAGGTGGCTGTGTGGTTTTAGCCTCACTTTGTTAGTTCACAGTCGCCGTATGTTCATGAGACTGGGGGAGGTGGGGACGTGTAGATCTATACCTGTCACAGTTGACACACATGTTCTGTCGTCTGTCACAGTTGACACACATGTTCTGTCGTCTGTCACAGTTGACACACATGTTCTGTCGTCTTCACAGTTGACACACATGTTCTGTCGTCTGTCACAGTTGACACACATGTTCTGTCGTCTGTCACAGTTGACACACATGTTCTGTCGTCTGTCACAGTTGACACACATGTTCTGTCGTCTGTCACAGTTGACACACATGTTCTGTCGTCTGTCACAGTTGACACACATGTTCTGTCGTCTGTGACACATGTTCAACTGACTGAGAGAAAGGCGTCAGATTGCTGCTGAATTGTGGGTTCGATTCTTGTCAGGTGTTGCCGTCTTTAGGCAAATAGGCGTGTTCCCTGATAGGCTACATCTCATATATATAATATATATAATATATATATACACAGTGTTTGCCAGGACCGGCTTGTTATCCTCGTTGGATCCGACCTCTCGTTGAACGTGACTGAGGCCAAAGTAAAGAAAGGAGACAAGTTATTATATGACACGATGTACCAATACCTGTAATTACAACAGTTGTTCCCCCTGATGACCAAAATCTCCAACAGCATCAGTGTGCGTGTGTGTGAGCTGTGTTCTCACCCTCATTTCTACTTTTTAAAATATTTTTTTACAGAACACCTCTCGTGTGGAAACCTCCCCTCTCACATCTAGGCCTAGATCTACATAAAGTAAATGCGGGAGCTGGGATTTTCTGATCAGGGGAATAAAAGAAAATTGAAAAGTTAAGGTCTCGATCTAGACCTACCCGTCCAGAGTTCATCAAGTTTCACACAGCCTGCTTCGCGTTCCCACCCACCCCCTCCCATCCCTACCATAAGCTAACCCTCGCCCATCCTCTTGGCTTTGGGGCCCATATTAGGAGGCACACAAGATCTAGCAATACAATGTGTTAAGAATGGAGGATGGGCCTTGTGCTTCGCGTGAGATGGAGAGAAAAGATAAAAATTCTTCGCTTTTGGGGCACCTAATTGCTTTTGTTTGGTTGTTGAGACCTCGTTGAAAGCGACTTCGGTCTGTTTGCAACCTCGTTGGAGCTGACGTACATTTACAAAGATATATAGAGGAAAAAAATCGTGGATTAAGGATTGCCTCGTTGGGGCCGACTTCTCGTTGAATGTGACCTTGTAGAATGCGACACCCACTGAAGTGGTAGTGGTAGTGGTAGTAGTGGTAGTGGTAGTAGTGGTAGTTGTAGTAGTAGTTGTAGTAGTAGTTGTAGTAGTAGTGGTAGTAGTGGTAGTTCTTGTAGCAGTAGCAACAGGAGCAGTATCCCTCAAGTTGATTGAGATTTCTGGTCTTGCATATTGTGTTGGGTTATGTTTTGGAATGTTACATTTTTTGTTTTTGCTGTCCTTTCATTCAGAGGGTTTTAAAAAAAGTTTTTTTTTTTTTTTGGGGGGGGGGGGGGGGGGGCAGTTATCGTGCCCTGATAGATATTTATATGTATAATATGTTTACCTCTATGAATGCTACCTTGAACCTCAAAGTAGTGCGTTTGTAAAATATGTGTTAAAGATTGGCGGAGGACTATTCAACTTTTTGGTTAAAATATTATGATGGTTATTTTGAAGACTAGAGAGATGAATGCATTGATGTTTAGTTTGCTCTTCCTAATATTATGTAATAGAGCTTTGCTTTCTCTATAAATAATGTGTTTCTATCAATGAAAGGTGATTTTTTGTGCTAATTGAAATATATAGTCATTATAATCATATTTGCCAGTTTTTTGTGTGTATGGGTATTTTGAAGACCTAGGAGATACATTAACATTTGTTCTGATTACTTTTCATATTATGCAAAAGAGCATTTCTTTCTCTTGTTTTTGATGTGTAAAAAGTATACATATAATGTATATATGTATCTCTACAAATCGCAGCATTCATGGGTTAATTTTTGTTGAATTCTGAAGTTGATTTTATTTTGTCGTTTTAACCTCCCTTTAGTCTTTAGCAAAAAAAATGTGAAAATGGCTTTCTGGGCCATTTGTGAGGCCATATTTGGATAATTTTGATATGTCAGATGTCTAGAGTCTATGGAAAAAGAACAATATCATCATATATGCACCAATGACTCTTGACTGAAGGAGTTTGGTTTGTGTGGCAATGTTGGTTTAGGTTATGTGTGAGCTGTCTGTGAAAAAGGTTATGTATGAGCTGTCTGTGAAAATCCAGTTTTTCATATTTCACCATGTGTCTTCACAAAAAATAATTTAAACATTCTTAATTCCTCCATCCTATTGCAATTAATTTGGTACATTGTCATTGTATTAAAATGTTGAGAATGAAAAGTTGTCAAGAATATACAGTGGAATCCTGTTATAACGAGAGGGAGGGGACCGGTGCCAAATGTCCGTTATAGCAGAATTCTCGCTATAACTATAACTATCAGGGATCCAGTAATAAATTCAAGGGAAACTGTAAAGTAGGCCTAATCTATGAGTTTGGCGTTCTGTTTATTTCCTTTTGCTATCTACCCTGATGATGATTTTGTTTCAACATGACCTCTAGGTCTTACTTGATCAAGAATCGAATCAGGTTTCTTTCTCTAGCGCTAGATCTAGCGATGTGGACTAACAGCTCGGCGTTGGCAATCAGAAAGAAAGGGCTCTTGGCTAACTCGCCCACTGTGTTTTCCCCCACCCCACCACACCCTGTGGTGCATTCCGTCTGCTCGCACACGTCACACATTCGCTCCATCCATCACATTGCTGTGACCTCTCCATCCCCGCATCGGAAAAGTGAGAGGCATGGTAGACCTTGATAATCTAAACTAGGCTTACGCTGGCCAATCACGTGATGCGTTCTGCTTGTCTGCGCATGCCACAACCTCCCTACTCATTCGCTCCGGCCTTCATCGTTGACCCACATGGGCTCTCCCACTCTTAGTTTCGCTAGATCACCAACAAGTTTCTCAACTGGCGAGGTTTTTTAATAATGGCCTATGCACTGTGCACAGCAGCAGCAATATTCCGCTATAACCGACTCGCATGTCATGTTCGTCTGATAGCGCTATAGCAGTATTTTATTTACAAAGGTAAAGAAGACAAAAAAAACGGTGTTTAAGAATAGTGTCTTTATAACAGACTTCTCGTTTTTTCCGGACTCGTTATAAGTAATATAAGTGGACTCCACTGTAGGCCTATATATTATGTGGAATGATTTTTCTCTTACATCCAATACCTAATGAAAATTTAGTGATAGGTAGATCTTGGTAAAGGTACCTAATAAAAAAACAATACAAAAAATCTGTTACCCTCAATAGATCAAAAATATTTTTTGAAAAATATATGGGTCTATATCTTTGATTATAGGCTGTTTTAAGGGGAGATGTACACTCCCGGAAAAATTTTCTTAACGAATGACTTTTATTCACTTTCATGTAATTTTGCAAGAAGTTCATAGGTAAAAATAGGATGTACTGAGGGTGGATTTGTTGATTTTTTTTTTTTTAATGGGTCTCTGTGGCAGCCATCTTGGATTTTCAAACCAGATTCTTAGTGCAGAAGAATTTCATAGTAAATATTGAAAGAACAGCCTGAGATTTGGCACACAAGTACAAACCTGTCTGAACTGGGGATCCATGTGAGGATTTTGACCTATCTTTAAAAATAAAAAAGTGAGCTCAAACTCAATGGACCCCCGAGGGTCAGTTGACGAAATTTGATGTTAAAAAAAAATTGAATATTTCCACAAGTTACCAATATTTCCCAATTTCCTCACGTAGATCCCCAGAATAGATCTTAAAGCACATGTACGCCAAATTTGAAGCTTCTTTCTAGCTCTTCACTAGATTTGGAAAACTTGCACCAAGGAGGTTACATAATATGTCAAAAAGTTGATTTTGAGAAAAACAGAAAAAACAGGATTTTTTAAAAGGACTTTCAGTGCAATATGCACTTTTCAAATGTCCTTTTAGGTCATTTAGGATGTTTTTTCAAGTTTCGTTGTTATGTCCAGATGTCAACAAAGGATGTTTTTCCACAAAAAGCAAAAGTTGGAAAGTTTGAAAAATGTTATCGATATTGCCTGGGGGGTTCCCCGACCTGGGTCTTCCCCTAACTTAGCTTTTAAACGTTTCCATCATGTCAAATAGCCTTGAATTTTTAAAAATAGATTTCATCTTGCATGCAGACGGCCTAAAATCAGGGCATCTTTTGACCTTGGATCTTTCTCTTTCCTGTCAACATTCCACTGGTTCTCCCTTTACATTCAATGTTTCACTAGCCCGCTATTATATATAATATACTTTACAGTCAATGTTCCACTAACCCTCTACTATATATAATATACTTTACAGTCAATGTTTCACTAGCCTGCTATTATATATAATATACTTTAGTCAATGTTCCACTAACCCTCTACTATATATAATATACTTTACAGTCAATGTTTCACTAGCCTGCTATTATATATAATATACTTTAGTCAATGTTCCACTAACCCTCTACTATATATAATATACTTTACAGTCAATGTTCCACTAACCTTCTATTATATATACAGTGGAAACCTGATATAGCAGGGATGGTGGGAGTAGAGAAAAAGTCCTGTTATATCCGATCCCTGTTAAATCAGAAATGCAAGGAAAGTAAGCATTTGTGGACTAATCCAGCTGTACTTATTCATGGGTAGTTTCCCTTGCCACAAGTACCCATGAACAGAGGTTTTGGCACCAATTTTCTCCTTGCCTCCTTAAACCACATCAGAAGAGCTTGGTCCACTGCATCTGCATCGGGTAGTCTCATCTTCTTTCGATCCCGAGCAAACTTTCCATTTAATTAGAGTATGCTACCACTACCTTCTCTCTATCCTTGATAATGATGTGAAACGACCCTTGTGGACTGTCGAACTAACGACAAATCTCTGCCAGTGGAGCTTGCTTTTGTCAACAGCCTGGATTATTTCGTATTTTTTGTCAATTGAAAAGCATTTTCTCTAGCGCTTGACATTGTTGGTGACACATTATGCCACGCGCGCGTGTTGCTAGGTTTCGGGCTAGATCTGAGGTCTGCAGCACACCGCAGCCCTCTCTCGCTTCACATCCTGCGTATGCTCACAGTGGCATGGCTTGCGTGGGCTTGCTCCATCGCTGCGTTACTCTTTCTCTCTCTTTACAAATTGTTAACGAGCCTTTGTCCCTGCTATAACCGGTTGGGCTCCGATGAGGCCCTGTTATTGCCGATAACTTTTAATAGAGACAAAGAGTAGGAAAAAACGGGGATTTAAAAAATCCCTGTTATTACCGGGCCTGTGATATATGGTTTCCACTGTAATATACTTTACAGTCAATGTTTCACTAATCCGCTATTATATATAATATACTTTACAGTCAATGTTTCACTGACCCTCTACTATACTTTACAGTCAATGTTTCACTAACCCCTTCCAAACAAGTTTCATCTTTAAAAAATGGAAGGCAGACTACTTTTGACCTTGTCTCTCAGTCTCAGAGCCAAACCAGGTTGAGTGGGATACAGTATCCTAGCCGACCAAACCAGGTTGAGTGGGATACAGTATCCTAGCCGACCAAACCAGGTTGAGTAGGATACAGTATCCCAGCAGACAGGAGAGATACTCTATTAACCCCCACCCCTGTTATAGAGAGTTGACGTTATAAAGAGGTAACCAAAAATACTACTTATGATGAAAAGGAAAAAATTGGGACCTGGCCACCATCATCATGTCGCTACACACAAAGTATCGGGTAGATCTATGTCAAAAATGTCGTTCTAGAGAGCCTGCACTATGCCTTTTATTACAAATACTTCACCTATATAAGCGTGATAGTGATATATATGTATCTATTTCCAACGGGCTCCATTCCGAGAAATAACATTTTGTCAGCGCACTTCAAGTTTGATTTTGACACAGTTCGGGCAAGACAGAATTTTCCTTCATGGAGGAGCAAGACAAAAAGCTGCCGTTTTGGCACTCTTTTTTTGTTTTAGTGTTTTACGGCACTTGCAACGCAATAAGGTCACACAAGTGCCGAAGATTAGAGGTGTTACTAGAGAGTAACAAACACACAAAAAAAGGAGGGGAGATTTAAAGATGACAGATGTTTGACAGGAAAGAAGCAAACCACAGCAGAGCACCTGCCAACCACCCACTGGCACACTGATCAAACAGAAACACAGACGCACACACAGGAGAAGTCAGCACACGGTCGCGTTTACTTCAGCGGTTTATTTTTATACAAATGAAAACTGTAGATGAATGGGGAGGCAAATAATTTTAGCAATGGAACAACAGAATGGGACAAAATCTAAGAGAAATGACCAGCAAAATTCCTTGACATCAACAAGTCCAAACACTCCAACCAAACAAAAACCAAACCAACAATACTCTTCCAGACAGCATGTAAGTTTTCGAGAACATTTGTGGGCGCATCGTGTGGATCCAATCAACTCATGTTTACTGTACAGCGCTTAACCCCCTCCCTCCCCCCAATCACTTTTCTACTTCCTCAAAAAGCTCACTGTACCGGTTTTGCATCACTTTAACACCGTAAAGGTAAATAAGAGGCTGGGCCTTCAAATGTGGTGTCCACACCCCCCCCCCCCCCCCATGAATAAGCCAAGTAGGTAGACAGCTTGGAAAACTTCCCCTGGCCTGACCTGACCAAGTGGACAGCTTGGAAAACGTCTCCAACCCTCCCTCAGGGACTCGAACAGGGGTCATCCACACCATAGCCCACCAGGACGCCGTTCACCACCCCACCACGGGGAGGACTGTTCACCACACCATGGGGCGGACAGTTCACCACCACACCGCGGACTGTTCACCACACCATGGGGCGGACTGTTCACCACCACACCGCGGGGCGGACTGTTCACCACACCTAGCAGCTGCACCCTCCCACCACCCGCACAGACAGAAACAAAAAAGGGAAGGAGAAGAAGTTCCGCAGGTCCTACCAGGAACACCCTCCAACCATCCGCCAGAAAGCCATGAGAACAAAGTACAAACACTTGGAACTGGAATGCAAAATGAATGAGATAGATGGACAGCGGGGAGGTGAACCCTTCGCTCACGGGGGAGGGGGGGAATGTCTGTGTGACAGATGGTGGCGGTGACCAGACATGAGAAATTGAGTCTTATCTGTCAGCATCTCTGGGCTCCGCCCACCCCCCACAGCGCAGCCAACCACAGCAAAACTTGTCCTCCCCCCCCACACACACACAATTCCCGTCTTTTGGGAGTCCGGTGGCTTGGGCCCTGTCAGCTGGCTGGATACATTCACTGTAGCAGAAAAAAACCTCTCCCCACACACACACACACACACTGACACACTTTAGTGGTAGAAATTGCTGAACTGTCTCACACACACACAAACAGACACACACAATAAAGCAGTGAGGAGGAGAACCCCAAGACACAGGACAAAACACAAGACACAGAACAAGACACAACAGGACAAAACACAAGACACAACAGGACAAAACACAAGACACAACACAGGACAAAACACAAGACACAGGACAAGACACAAGACACAGGACAAAACACAAGACACAGGACAAAACACAAGACACAGAACAAGACACAACAGGACAAAACACAAGACACAACAGGACAAAACACAAGACACAGGACAAAACACAAGACACAACAGGACAAAACACAAGACAAAGAACAAGACACAGGACAAAACACAAGACACAACAGGACAAAACACAAGACACAACAGGACAAAAAACAAGACACAGGACAAAACACAAGACAAAGATAAAGATGTATTTCTGGTGGAGCAGCAACGTTCACAGCACTGCGTTCCACACATAGAGTGCTCAAAGCAGAATGTGTGCGTGTGTTGTGTTTGTGTGGGCGTGTACTCCCTCAAAGCAGAAGTGTAAACATGGCAATGGCCCTGA